TATATATCTATGCAAAATTGCTTGTGGTGCACGTGTATTCGTAAATCTTCTGTTCCTAAACTGCTGAACTTTTTTTGATGATATTTTTTTGTAGGTACTGCCGTAGATACACACAAAAATATCGGCACAAATTCAGAATTGGGGACTTGGCCCCTAGCGGAGTGGGTGGTATTTCTGGATAAGGGACGTGATAGGGAGTCGAAATGTTAAATAAAAATTGTCCGCGAACGTATGAGTAAAAAGTTATTGAGACTTAAAGTTACAACATTTCCATACATTTTCATATATTTCTTTACCACCATTCGGAGTGGGTGGTATTTTTAGATAGGGGAGGTGACAGAGAGTCAAAATATATTAAAAATATTTGGAGGAAACGTACGAGTAAAAAGTTATTGAGACTTAAAGTTATAACATATCTAACACATTTCCATACATTTCTTTACCTAAATAAGTGATTACAACAGATAAACATACCTTTAACGAATAGTACACATCCTTTTTTATGTACATTACACATTTTCACAACAATTAATGCTTTATTGTATTTAATATTTTAATAATTTCACAACACAAACAAAATGATCTTACATTTTGACAAAAGCAAAACTGACACTTTGTTTTATATTACCGCTTAAATGACAACAGATTATATTTGATTATTTTTGCTTTTTCTGTTGGTAAAATATTAATATTAATAAATAAATAAATAAAAAGAAAAATATTATTTTCATTTCATAAATACATTTATGATTTTTTATCTGATTTATGTAAAATATATTGTTTTACAATTGTACATTTAGTAAAAAAAAACATTTTTTTATCTGTGAATATTTTTCAGTATTATTGGCGGGTGTTCTTAAAATACCGCGAAGTTTCATAATTTGTGACTCTGTACTCTGTGTATTTTCCATTAGTTATTAGTTTTTGTTAATTTTTATATACTTTCGTTTCTTGTTTTTGTTTTAATATTATTTTTATAGTTTTAAGTGTTCATAGTGTTAGTGTAAACAATTTATAAACGTGAGTAGACTATTTTTTTTTTAAAATCTAAATGTATTATTTACTTTTTGTTTTTATTTTGCGACATTGTGGTTAGTTTAAGACATAGGTTATTTATTTATTATTCGTCATATCTTGGTTAGGTTAGGTTAGAACATTTAAGATTATTTATTTATTATTCCTCATATCTGGGTTAGGTTAGGTTAGAACATTTAAGATTATTTATTTATTATTCCTCATATCTGGGTTAGGTTAGGTTAGAACATTTAAGATTATTTATTTATTATTCCTCATATCTGGGTTAGGTTAGGTTAGAACATTTAAGATTATTTATTTATTATTCCTCATATCTTGGTTAGGTTAGGTTAGAACAGTTGCCACAACGCACGAGCCGAGCGAGCGAAGCGAGCGTGCCGCGGTAGCGGCCGGCGAGTGCCATAAATGACTAGAAAACTAGAAAATTCGAATTTCACGCAAAGTACAAATAAAGACAATCATCTGGAGATCATTTTGACAATTGAAAGTGACGTTTTGACTCCAAGTGTCTAAATGGTAGTAATGTCAAAATAATGTATGGAAATGTTGTAACTTTAAGTCTCAATAACTTTTTACTCATACGTTCGCGGACAATTTTTATTTAACATTTCGACTCCCTATCACGTCCCTTATCCAGAAATACCACCCACTCCGCTAGGGGCCAAGTCCCCAATTCTAAACGGCCGCCAAAATATCATCCCTAAAAATGATCCCATAATCAGCTGGATGCTTCTTGACAATAGTTGGTCCCAATTGGTACAGAATCCACTAATTGATATATAATTTTCTAACCATATTTTTTATATTATTTTTCATTATCACACTAAAAAAACAATAATGCAAAATTTGTAGTATCTGAGTACTTTTTAGGTGTACCTACGAGTATAATATAACGTGCCCTTTTAGGGCGACAATTGTAGAATAAAATAATAACTTAATACTTTTATATTACACATATAAATAGCCTTACTTTGCTCAAGCTTTAACTGTACACACTTGCTGTTCTTCAGCAACTATTTCACTACACTAATACTTCTTAATCTTTTCACTTATCGGAATAAAAATAGCCTATATCTCTCTCCAACCTATCAACAGCTATAACTACGAGTAACATTATGAATTATGTAACATGAAAGGTAGTATCATAGTAGGTATAAGTATTTTTATTTGGTCAACTAGCTGGATTTTAAACTCAAAATATTTTACTCTCATTTATATTTTTACGGTGTTTTTCAATCTGTGACCTCTATTTCACAGACCCTTTTCAATACGACCCTTACTATACAATATTGAAGTAAAATAAGGGGCCTCTAGGGCGCAGGCTCGCCCCCATTTCAAGGATCCTGTCAGATAATATTATCGGGCTCGGTTTCTCGTAACATTTAAATGTTTATATTTAATAATTTCAAATTTTGTATATTTAAGCTTACAATTACTGTCAAACAATAGAGAATATCAATATGTTTAGAATAAGGTATAAGTTTTTTGTAGTTAGTATCTCGTGTAGTATATATATCACATTATTACCATGTTGATTACATATAATTAGTCACATTAGAATAATATTACGTTTCTTTCCTTTTTTGTTACATACTGAAATTATATATTTTACTAGCATTGCCCGCGACTCCGTCCGCGTTGAAATGACCAAAGACAGATAAACAAACAGACAAAAATTCTAAAAGCTATAGCTTCAGCCTCTGTATCGATAATAATGTTTATATCATTTTTAAATAAAACTATCTTTTCGGATTTTGTCGCGGATTTATTTGTATTTTTGTTTCCCGACGTTTCGAATGCTTTACAGCATCCATGATCACGGGAGAGACTGAGGTGTTACATGTCTTAAAGATATAGTTGTTACAGACAGCCTACCCACAATTAACAAAATGAAAATTGCACCAATTACATTACAATATTTTAACTTTAAATATTTTTATAATTTTAATTATAATTGAATATGGAAAATTATTTATTTAATTTTTGCTATTATTTTTATAATTATTACAACTTTAAAAATATTAATTAGTAATCTATATTTAGTGTTGCCATTATTATATTTATAACCATAAGAAAAATATAAAATATAGTATTAATTATTTAAGCCACAATTGATCTATGTGTGTAATTTGAAAAAGTTAAGATTAATTAAAAATAATAATTTTAATTTTAATTTGCTATTATTTAAAAAACAAATTATTAAGCAATTTCAATAGGGAAGATGGCAGGGTACTACCATCGTCATGGGATCCTGTTATTAATGTAATAAAATCTAATAATAAATCTAAACATAACAGACAGGTAGATGTAGTAAGTTCTTACTGTGTAGATCAAAATGATAGCATTTCTGATTAATAATAGTTTTTCATTTGTAAATGTATGTAGTAATGTGGTGCTTAATAATTTGTTTTTTAAATAATAGCAAATTTAAATTAAAATTATTATTTTTAATTAATCTTAACTTTTTCAAATTACACATAGATCAATTGTGGCTTTAATAATTAATACTATATTTTATATTTTTCTTATGGTTATAAATATAATAATGGCAACACTAAATATAGATTACTAATTAATATTTTTAAAGTTGTAATAATTATAAAAATAATAGCAAAAATTAAATAAATAATTTTCCATATTCAATTATAATTAAAATTATAAAAATATTTAAAGTTAAAATATTGTAATGTAATTGGTGCAATTTTCATTTTGTTAATTGTGGGTAGGCTGTCTGTAACAACTATATCTTTAAGACATGTAACACCTCAGTCTCTCCCGTGACCATGGATGCTGTAAAGCATTCGAAACGTCGGGAAACAAAAATACAAATAAATCCGCGACAAAATCCGAAAAGATAGTTTTATTTAAAATGTCAAATATTCGCGTAAATCTAAGAAAGTATAATGTTTATATCAATAAGATTTTCCAAAAAATATTTAATGTACAGATTCGGCTTAGTTACAATTTTATTATATGTACCTACTACCTATAGATTTTACCAAATACCGACATATAAAAACATTTTCAAAAATAGCAGGACGAATAACATATTTTCTATGATAAAAACGTAATGATCGTCTATCTGAATAGTCTAATATTACTAATATATTAATTGACCAATATCAACAAATGAACTTCAAAGTCCTAACATAAAATTTACAATTTGCAAATCTCTACCTAATATTTTTATTCTGTTACATAGACAGTAACATTATTATTGGTTTACAATAGAACAAACGGTTTATTTATCGATGAGATGAATAGAGCACGATAGCAGTTGCGGTCGTGAAAATACCTATACAATAGATTGAAATTTGAAAGCACCTTTGCTGCTCTTTATATGCACTATGTAATACTCGGAATATTTGTATTAATTTTGTATGCTGTTATAGATTTTAGAAACTATTTATTAGAAAATCTTATAGCTTTCATAAAATCCTTAAAACTTTATCAAAATATTAATATTAGACTAATGATTTTATAGCAAATCGTACGTATAACGAAATCGTTAGATTAAAATAGATGTCTGTAGAAAAATATTTTTTTGTCAATAATTTTTTTGGTAAGCTATGTTACAGGCTAAAACTCAATTTTTTTAAGTTTTATATGTTTGTCTTTATATATTTTTTATCTGGTTCACGCAAAAACTACAGGACAGAATATGATCATATTTTTCATAATATTAATTCGTCTATCCATACCATATTCATGTCATATCGTAGAGTACTTTTAACATGAAAAATTATAGAGGTCATGTGGAAAGATAATTTTGTTTTATATGGAAACTACTAGATCAATTATTTTGATACAAATAGTAAAGAATTTAATTTCTTTTTTAAGAACAACAAGCAAATACGTATTTATAAACACATCTTTATGATACATCCATCGCGAGGATAGCCATGTCGGAAAACATAAATATGAATATTCGTGTAATTAATATAAGAAACAATTTTATTAGTTTACTTAAACTTATTTCTTATAATTCTTTCGCCGTGATCTTCATATTGTTTCTTAATTATAAACATTTTCTCTGCATCTGCAAGTCCTGCCAATGTAGCTCCCCCTAACCATGTAACGGTATATGGTTCAGGTGAAGACAAAATTGTGACGGATTGGTTAAGTACACTTTCCATTTCTATTTGTAATCTTTCATTAATACCTGGTATCAAAGCTAAACCTCCACAAGGTATAATAGAATCATATAATTCTAATCTTAACTCATCGTCACATTTCAAAGATGCAGTCACCAAAGCATCTTGGAGAGGAACGTAACCTGTGTCTTCATTTTTGACTAAATCTGGTTGAAAAAGCATTTCTGCAGCCATAAAAACTTCATTGCTAACGTCGATTTCATTTTCAAGGGAAACTTTATGTTTTCGTTTGCAATCTTTTCTTAACATAGCACAGTCTTGTGTAATGTAACATTTTTTTTGGATATTTTCAATATCTTGTGGTGTTTTAATTCCTTCGAGTTCGCCTCGCTCTCCTAGACATTTCTTAATATAATCTGATATTTGTAAGCCTCCTAAACCTGTGTCGATATGTGCATAACTAACATCACCGCCTTCAAATACTGGTATAACATTTGTTGTAGCATATCCAAGATCTACGCAAAGACCAGTTGTAACTCCTGATCCATACATAGCCAATACACTTTGTGACTGAATACAAAGCGCAGGAGCATTAAGAATGTCGAAAAATATTTCACAACATCTGATTCTGAAACAAAATAATATTGAAACATATAGAATATTATTAGTAACAATATTTTAACTGTATTATTATATACTTTTCCTCCATCGATGCAGTAGAACCGCAAGCCAAAATTACAGCACGATCTTCTGGTGCAGTCTTTAATTCTCTATAAAAAATGTGATGCCAAATTCGCTCTATATTATCCCAATCTAAGATCTTTCCGTTTACAATAGGCTGTGAGAGCTCTAAGTCATGTACTTTATCCAGTGCCTCATCGCCTATATAAACATCATAGTAGTCACGGCCAAATGTCCCATGTAAATAATTTGGTCTTCCTACCAAAGTTCTAAATATGGAAACCGGATGGTTATCACAGGAAAACCCGGCTTTTATATTGTAACTACCATTATCAATCACAACCACTGGCTTTTCAAACGCCATACCTTTCGTAGTTTAAATTATGTGAATCGAAATATTATTATTATTTACAATAAAATAACTTTACTGTTAATGGGTTCCGCAGACAATCCAAAAATATAATTATTATTTTCTTTAATAATAATGTTGACAAGCGCTAGAGATTCCGCTTGTGTCACTTACAACGATGAATATACCAATGACATACGAATGAAAATACAAAAAACGAAACTAACTCAAAAAAAAAATTATACCAAAAGCTATTTATACAACATAAAAATCCAAACGTCAACCTGCTAATTACTTTTTTATAAGTAAAATATTATTTTGTTTATAACATTGTTATAATCATAATACCTACTTATTATATATTTAAATTGCTTTAAACACTTTATTCATCGATCATAAAAATAGATCTCAATTGAAAGCCAAAATTAGCATAAGAATCAATATAATATAACTAATATAATTTCCATAGATAATCTAAGAGCAGCCTTTCTCAAGAATTCATGAAAGTTCGAATGAGAGAGAAGCTTTTGAGGCCAAGTAGTTAATGTTTATGATTAGTTCACAGCCTTAGTTAAACAGACATACAACAAGACTGTATCAATATCGACACGAAGTTAAAGCTTTGCATATTCTATACATATATATTTTATCTATACATATATCATATGATCTTACAATTCATTTAATGTAAGGTCCTGCAATATGTATAATAAGCAATATTATGGGTTCAAAAAATTCGCTCACCTTTTAAAAAAAACATAAATTGTGTTAATATTTAGTATTCTTGCTTTATGTTTGATTTATTGCTGCTAATTTTAAGTTCATTTCGTTTATGTTTTTAGTGGGAACTTTATTGGCTTAAGATTTTTGTTTAGAAGTGTTTAAGTAAATTTTATTAATTATACGCTTTGTTTCCCAATGATAAATAAATAAATATATATGTAAAGAAAATACAATTGCCACATATATGATCACTTGCTTGTAGTGATTATAGTTTTTGTTGAGAACGGGCTCGACCGATTTAGCTAATTTCTTTTTCGTTGTTTTCGCAATTGCAAGGACAAGGTTTGATGAAATGAATACATAAATATTATACATAATATAAATAGGGAAAGAGCTGTTATAAGGACTGCCGACAGAAGTGAAAACTTAAAACTACAAACAAACAGTTGCTATTTTTGGATATTCAAATTAATTGTTTGATCTTTATAAATAAAAATTGATCTTTATAAATAATAATTAAAATTTATAAATAAAAATTGCTTACATTTGTCTGGTTTTGATATCTATCGGCAATCGGCACTCTGAGTGCTAGCGTTAACACGTCACGTGACCATATCGATGACGATTTTTTTTAATTTTTTTAATTACATAGACTTTGTCTTTTTTATAATAATGACGAGCAAACGAGCAGGCGGGTCACCTGATTTTAAGGACCACCAGAGGCACCACCAATGTGTTGCCGGCCTTTCAGAAATTTATTGGTCCGTCCTTTGAATAACCCCATGTCTACTGTGCATTGAATATATTATATGCGTTTGCCACGCATATTCAGTAATTGCTTAGCAATGGTGTGCAAAGTCAGTCATGAGAGTTTAAAATATATTAAGGCTTAACTCACTTTAGCGAAAAAAATATTTATAGAAGAAGATCCTAGGTATAAAATAGCATTTAAAAAATATTAGCAGATAGAGAGTAAGGATGAACAAAATTGAGACATTATGAAAAAAAGAAAAATTGATTGGAGATCTAAATTTTTACATCGTTTTACATTAGGAACGTTTACAATATTTAACTTTAGAATCTGTGAAGCTCATAGAAGCACACTTAGAGAACAATACTTGTTTACAACTGTTTGAGAACAAGCTTTGTGAACAATGTTGTTTTGTCGAGCGACATTAATTTAACGTTTACAATACGCATCCAACTCCTTTCATATGTTATCTGCACAATACCCTGTTAGTGGAGTCAAGTTATTGTAATTGTTATATACTAATGTTACTAATATTATATGTACATATATGCTTCTGTTAATATATTGCATCTCACAGGCTTGAACATAATTGAACGGTGACATTTCTGTTACTCCAGCATAGTGTGTAACTCTTGCCTTCAAAATGTCATGTATGTAGAATGAGTGACATAATCAAGTTAATGTAAAGTGAAGCTCCAGAAGCAAGCCATAGCATATATGATATACGGTATAGTATAAAAGACAGACTTCGGTATCTCGTGTCCTTTTGTACCTTTTAGTGTTACAAATACAGGAGGTGTTTTTATTCCCTATATCTATAGATATAATAAAATTGTAACTAAGCCGAATCTGTACATTAAATATTTTTTGGAAAATCTTATTGAAATAAACATTATTATCGATGCAGAGGCCGAATCTATAGTTTTTAGAATTTTTGTCTGTCTTTCTGTCTGTTACCGCATCACGAGAAAACTACCGGACAGATTTTGATAAAATTTGGTATGGTGATAGCTGGTTATCCGGGTCAACATATAGGATACTTTTTACTGCGTAAAAATATCTAATTTCTGAGAAAAAATACAAAAACTGGTTAGAGTAAAACCACGATGATACTATATATATTTTAGCAAGGTAACTTACTAAATAAGAAAAAATCTATTAAAAGTAACTTATCTTGAAAAAATAATAACAATAGCTCTATTTAATTTGGTTTTTGGTCATTTCAACGCGGGCGGAGCCGCGGGTAATGCTTAGTACATAATATTTGTTTGGGCCAAGGAATTTTCAAAATTAATGAAATTAACAAAATACATTAACACATATTTTTATTATTAAGGTGCTTCATATATTTATTATTAAGGTGCTTGGGTAGTTTGTGTAAAAATAAAATAACGAATGTACCTATCATCCTTTAATAACATGATTTTTTTTTGTTTCTCTAATGATATCTGATTTTCAGGTTATGCTTTAACTGCATGGCATAATGAGGCCGTAAACGAAGCCATACGATGCCAGCTATCGTATTTCAAATATTCACATATTTTGCATTCATGTTGAAAATTACAGTAAATACGAGCATATCATAAAATAATAACATTAAATAACCAATTAAGATATTTTTCTACTCATCCCAATACAAGCATTTGTTATCATTATAGTTAAAGTGCAAAGTTATACCATTTTATTGTTACGGTAAAGTTAAAAAAAAAATGAAATAAAAAACATATTTTGTTCCTCAAACATTTTTTTACAAACTGCATACATGTAAAAAAAATTGAGAGTATGGACGCATGATGGAGATCCAGACCTTTGGATTTTTACTTCGCTGTTGCTCTAATTTTTTGTTAATATAATGTGGAAAGTTCTGAAAAAAATAGGGTTGAAATATGTTAATATTTTTTTAATGTCCTAAAAATATATATTTGATAAAAATATATATTGCAATATACATGATAGCATAAAGATTATTTAATATTTTGTTAATAGTACAAATTCACACTAATAAATAGTATTTTCAATTAAAAATAACAAATCTATTAAGCTATGATATATTGTTACGTATATCCATATGGTTATGGTATAAGTACCCATGTAATTCTAAATAATGTCTTGCCAAGAAGCCGTAACCCTAGTGCTAGACACAGGATCGTTATCCGTTAAAGCTGGATTTGCTGGGGAATCCTTCCCTAGATGTATTATACCAACGGCAGTTGGACGGTAAAAGTTGTAATTTTATGTAAAGGACTTAGGGAACATTTTGAATATATTAAATATAAATATTTGAAGTAACTCAATAAATTTATAGACTTTCTAATTTTCTGTATGCAAAGTTGTTTGCCCTAATGAATGGATCCCCGACAAACTACTTTACCTGAAAAGCTGATATTATAACGGCGTCTTCCTATGACGGCATAACTAAAAGTATAACAACATAATAGTGTGTGGTACATTTTTGAATAAATATTACACCATATAAGCACCCATGGGAAAAGTCCATACGGGCTGCTAGTTAAAAATAAAATAAAATACTGTATGAGGCAATATATTTTAGTTGTTTTTTTGTAGTTTTCGTCATGGCGGTCTGATAGACGGAGTTCCAGATTTATACTTTGGTAATGAAGCAGTAGCAAATAGGGGAATTTCTACATTAACTTGGCCAATCAAAGATGGTTCTATAGATAATTGGGGCGATTTAGAAAAACTTTGGCATCATGTATTTTATAGAGAACTTCATGTTGCCCCAGAAGACTCGCAGGTCATGATGGCAGTACATCCTTTGACAAAACGGCTGGATAAGTAAATATCTATAAAAATCATCAATGTATCGTATAGAAATGTAATCTATCTATATAGTATAGAAATGTAATCTATCTATATATCTTCTATATATATAAAAATCTATTGCCGTTCGTTAGTCTCGCTAAAACTCAAAAACGGCTGGGCCGATTTGAATAATACTTTTTGATTTGATGGGGACGTCCCAGAGGTGGTTTAAGTAAAAAAAAACAGGATCACCCTAAAAAACATCTGGAAAATCAAAAAGTTCAGAACTGTTTAATTTGTATCTATGTATAATGTATATATTATAATTATCTATTCCATGAACCCGAGCTAAGCGAGGGTGAGTCACTAGTTTGTAATAATTTTCAGAGAACGAATAGCAGAAATATTGTTTGAATCTTTCGGAATTCATGATTTGTATATTGCGATATCGTCTGCATTAGTGCTGCACGCAAGCGGTAGAACTTCTGGAGTTGCTTGGGAAAATGGTCACTCTTGTGTATATGCTTCGCCAGTATTTGAAGGATTTCCTCTGAAACATGCAACGGTCTGCTCAGAAATAACTGGTAAATCTTTAACTTGCCGTCTCCAAACTCTTCTCTCGCAGATTGCATATTCTTTTAGCACGCCTTTGGAATTTGATGTATTAGAAAAAATTAAGGTAACAAAAAATATAAAAAACAATAATTAAAGGTTTTAATATTTTTGAAGTGTTAAGTTTTTTGTATAATTGTAGAGTGAATTATGTTACGTAGCAACGGATTTTGAGAAAGAATCAAATACTTCAAACTTTTGCAAAGAAGGTGTTCATTATACTCTTCCTGATGGTCAACAAATTTTGATTGGTGAAGAACGATACATGTGTCCAGAGTTATTGTTTCAACCACATCTGCAGGGGAGTAATGGTGCAAGTATTGTGGACGATATATGTTCAAGTATATGTAAATGTGACATGGATTACAAAGCTCTTTTTTACGCAAATATAGTGATATCTGGAGGCTCAAGTTTGTTTAAAGGCTTACCTGAACGTTTAGGTATTGAATTATCGAGACGAGTAAAAGATCAGCCAGGGATTAAAGCGTGTGTCGACGCAATGCCTACTAGGCATTATGCTGCTTGGATGGGAGGTTCAATATTGGCATCACTTAACTCCACTCAAGGTTTTTGGATGACTAACGCTGAATATAAAGATGATGGGGCTGACCGTGTGCATTACAATTTTTTTTGAATGTAGTTTAAGTTACAATTTTTAAGCTCAAGAGTAATTCATTATTTAACTCATAACATAAAACACAAAACGGTCACGGATTAGAGGGCAAATGAGAGTTATTAAGATATACCGACTACAGAGTTGTTGCGAGTAAGTTCATTCTCACATTCGGCGCATCCTTTTTTTTTATGTCGGGAAATGCATTTACGCATACCACCTGATCCCCCAGTTGGTGATGTGGGGCTCACCGGCTAGAAGAGCCGGTACTACCCACTAAAACCCGACATTCCCCTCCCCTCCGCCTTAATGGGACACCGCAGGATCGCTTGCGCATAACTACTACGGCGCCCCGGCGGCAGGTCTGCCAACGGCTGACCACCACACTGATGGGGCTGCTCCACAGTCAACTCTGCTACACCAGAGAGGTACCCGGAGCAGCCCCATTAATCCGAACCTCCGCCCACCGAAGTGGGCCACCTCCAATCGGCTGCAAAGGACAGGGAGAGCGGCAACGACACGTACCTACCTACTACCTACTATGTTATTTTTATTCTAAAAAATATCAAACTGCAAAAGAATAATTTTAATTCATCCAACTTCTCGATATGTGCAACCGTAATTGAATAAAAAAATGTGTATGTATTCGTCTAAAGGCTCCAAAGTTTCCACTTGTTTCGCCTTGGCTTACATTTTTTTATTTGCCTATTTTTTTATGTGAGTGTTAGTCGGTCGTCATTATATCTACAAGAATGTGATTTTTAAATTAAAAAGATTATTACTGTCCATATGTATAAGTTTTTACTATAATAAAGCAATAAATCTCAACTTGAAAAAAAAAATGTCCATTTGAAGCCAAAGTCACCTTTGGCAATTATTTTATTATTTACTAGCGACTTACCTTTGCTAAGCTCGGGTGCGTCTCTAGGTACGTTTCTATAAGCCTTTTTAAGACCTACAATTTTCTAGTACATTATTTTGATGTATCTCCTAAGGTTAGCCATAAAAAATGCCTAAGGACGATTCGATAGAACCAATTAATCTGTTTTCCCGTGGGAATGAAAGATTTTCCTGCAGTAAAAAGTATCCTAAATATTGATTTGAGTAAATAAGTTAAAGTAGAAAGAGTAAAATATGTATTATATGCAATTTCTTAAATAGAAGAAAAAATAAATTTTCTTCAGATTGATGCATAATATGTGATAGTCATCGTTCTTGTTTTAGCTGTGGAAGTAGTATAGGGTATGTTTGATTAAAAGATTATTATAGAAAGTCTGTAAATCAAAAAGATTTTCTAAAATAAATAACATATTTTGTGATAGTAACAATATAACTCAAAAAATATCTATCGTAAAGATTATAATAGTTTTGTTCTATCTCGACATAAAGTAGGTACAATTATATATCTCTATCTGCTTATTTCATCCATATTTATAAAAGTTATCTGAATATTGTCAGCTGGTTGCTTCTATGTATCTGATTAAACAACTATTGCAGCCACTTATTTTCATGCCACTTACACCCTGCTGACGTTATTGGTTCTATAAATTCCGGTGAACGGTTGTGTTCATTTGGAGTGTTGAACGTTCTGACATGCCTATATTCGATGAAATACAAACTGTACGAACATAATAATTTGATTACCATCTATTTCTTCTTTCTTACTGTTTTTGATTATTATTTTTCATTTTATGTTGTAGTTTTCATCGGGTAGATGTCCTAAATGTAAAAGTAATACAAGTCATAGTAATAAAATTTAATTTGTTTATGTCTTTAATCCCTCCACGACACACACGACACGACACACCGGCGTATCAGTTAACAATAGATTTTTTAGAATTTTAATTAATTTCTTAGAAATTTACCTAGAAATGTTAGTCTACAATATCTGAGTGTAAAGTTAGGGAGGAAAATAAATACAAAAGCAGTGAAAGTAAAGCAGCAAGTTTATTTTAACTTTACTAGTCTGTTCATAGTGGCAGATTATTATAATGGTGCTAATAGATATTAACAATGTTACTATCGTACACTGCGTTTAGTGCGTAAAATAAATCCATTGCTTTTAACACACGCTGGAACCTAATTTTACAGATAACATAATCAGGGTATCCACGTCGGATCATAAGGTATCAAGTCATGGAAAACGTCATACTACTTATAACTTATGTGCATATGTTATATTTGCACGTACGTACATATATTTAGACTTATGTCATTCTACATCTTTGACGTTAACCACAGTTGATTACATAAAAGTCTCTTTCAATAATGTAATATGCTTGGTGGGTTAATTAAGAAGATAGCTTTGTATTTGAGGTATCAAGTAATAATTTTACTGTCAGCAAATCACTATACACAAGGTTTAGTACGAATCGTACTAATCCTGGTGCATAGCCTGTACCAATTTCGATCACCTAATTCAGCTATAATAAGTATCTATATGCTTTTAAAGTTGCAAATATTGAGTCTCTGCTTTTATTTTTAAAGAATAAAGTTGTGGAGAAGATAAATAAAATAGGGGTCATAGAACTCCGATTTTTTTTAATTAAAACTATTCTGGGTAAGATATTTTGTGTAGTTTTTGAAAACGAGATATTTTAGGTGCCACGTTTCGTTTGTACAGTGGTCGCAAAATTTATTTTTATTCGGAGTTTATTTTCTTAAGTATGTCTGAGAAATACTATGAAACAAATTAATTTATAATAATAAAATAATTATCATAGATTAGGGTAATAAAGAAAACAAAAAAATAATATTTGGTGCTATGAAACCAATTGATAAATGATATGCATTAATCTGATTTTTATGTAGAAATTCAAAATATTGCGTCAAGGCATGTGAACTAGACATTTGTTATTCATATAGGCCTACGTATAAGATTATAACATAATGAATAAATTGAGCATATAATTTTATATGAATATAATATACGCATTTTAACCATCTTTAATCTCAGGCAAAGAAATTCTATAGACGAAGTGTCATAGAACTACACATGAAGCCCAACCAAAAAAATCAGTGTTTATACTGTATATATAAACATAAATTGAGATTAAGAGTTACAAGGTTGTTGATAAAATTTTCATATAAAATAATAGTAGGGGAGCCCAAGCGGGGAATTCGGGATTTACTGAAGCGCGGCAAAAAAACGTCATCTCGACATTCTCGAGCGTAACTAATTTTTTTTTATTTTGAAGGAAATAATTCAAGAATAATGAAAAATATATAATCTGACGATTTCCGCAAGCCGAAATAACAAAAATTCGTCGATAAAGGTTAATGCGTGCAGCTGCGTGATGCCTCATACTCGTTCGTGGCATACTGTTTACAACGTGTTTCCAACGTTTTGGCTTTTTTTGCTATTTTAATATTATTTGTGTGAAGTATGATGTTGTCACTAAGTCTGTATGTATGTATGTGTGTGTGTATGTGTGACTCGCTTATATCTTTTCAACGACTAAACCGATCGGAATCTACTAAACGACGTTCTAAAGATTTCCCTAAAAATTAGATTTCCTGTGAATTTGAACCGATTCGGACCGATAGATTTTGAGAAATTTTGAAAAATCTCAAAAAAAATAAGAAACATTTTTTTTTGAAAGTGCTTTTTTGGAATAACTTTTAACCGGCTTTTTCAATTAACTTCAAAAACTAATCCGCTCTTAAGATAGAAAAACCACGCCGATCGTCGCTAATCCGGTCAAAATCGGTTGATTCGTTCGAGAGATATCGTGAACGAAAGAAAACCGAAAAAAGTGTTTTTTCGGGATTACTCCGAAATTTTTGGTTCGATCAATTAAAACCTGAAAATAACTTATGAGGATGATAAAACTGCGTCGAATGGCGTCAACCGCGTGAAAATTGCTTGATCTATTCAAAAGTTATTGCGGTTTGAAAATTCCAAAAATAGTGTTCTATGAAACTTCTATCAGACTAATACATAGAAATATTATTTCTTTGAACTCAGCGAGCTCAAAATATCACATAAATTATATTTTGAGCTCAAAAATGTCATAAGTACAATTTTAAGCGCCCAGGAATAGAATTAGCGGGAAGTTGCAGGTATGGCCTTTAAGGTGAACCGTTTTTCTAATTTTTTTTGTCAGATCAGACGAATCCCTCTAGATAATCGTCAGATTATGAGACAGTACGTTTAGAACATAAAGATGAACCATATATATCTTAATCTGACGCGCTTGAGTATTTCAAAATGGCATTTTTTTTGCATATTATGAAAATGGCCGCGAGTTTGCGTCCCATCGAAATCGTCAGATTAGTGAATGAGAGCTTTTTTTTGGTGCACTTAACTCTCCCTTAGAAAATCTGACGCGCTCGATGAAATTTTTTTTTTTTCATTTTCAACCCTTTAATACAACCACCCGCATCATGCAAACGATCAGATTAACATACGTACATTATTAAAAATACGTAGGGCATTGATGCTATCAATATCTGACGCGCTCGAGGATGTCTATGCAACAGTTTTTTTTTACATATTTAAAAATCTATAACCGCTTCCCCCACCGATGTAAAGGTATATATCATATAATATTTTTTTCTTCTTATCATCTAAGCTTTGCATCCCAATAGGTCTCTACGACGCTCGAGTAAATCCCCATTTAGCATCGTGGGCTCCCCTACTATAAGTTTATTTAATGAATTTTATATAGTACGAGCAGAACCCGCAGCTTCGCCCGCGTTTAATCTACAAAAAGACTTGCTTTACATTGTCTAGCGACTCATCACTGTATGGGCTGGCACCGATTACGAAAATATTTGATTAGGTATGTATTTAATAGGTGGGCTAATACTTAGCTAAAGCACACCGACTTAGTATAAAATATATACCTAAATTAAGTTTTTAGCCACGTTATTATTTAAATTATTATTGAAGTAATCCAAAATTGTAGCTTTAGCTTTTAATTCAGTAAAACTCGAAGGTCCCGTTTGACGTATTAGAATTAAATTAAAATTCACATCGTGTCTAGAACGGCCGATAGAAATATATAATATGTGATAAGTATATGATTATTTTATAGATACACACATAGATATATAAGCTTTGCCATATAGTATTTACTCGTATATTTAATAATCTATTTATATCAATCCGTTATAAACTTATTTTTTTTAATTACAAAAGTATCACAGAGTAAGTATTTTATGAAATGAATAATTCAGTTAGATTTTACAAGATTATATTCTACAAGGAGAAACATGGACAAATTAGGGAGACCCTTCCCCCTGCGGAATATTAATTCAAGTCACGTCTCTCACTTAGAAGACGCAGATGCACTCAGGATGACCTAATCGGGTAATTTACAGAGCTCATGTGAAACGCAGACAGAATAGTGGAGAACTGTTAATATTTATTGATATAGTTTATTTAATAATGCGAATGCATGTACATACTTTGTATATAGGTACATACATATACAAATTACTGTTACATAATAAATTATAAATACAACTTATATGTGGAAGTAAACACAGCTTGTTTTCAATTACTTTGAAAAATATAGTTTACAGTCTCAACCAATACATTCCAGACCTAATTCTATTGTAATCCGGTAGACCCTCAGTGGGACCAATTGCGGCAACAACAGGACATTTATTGTAAATATAGTTGAATGCTACATCCTTAATCATTTTATCTGTTACATTTGATAATTCACAATATAGTTCAGATAAATTTTTAAGTTCAGATTTATATAACAACTGTAAGCCAATATCACGGCAAGAATTAGCGACACCATTAATCTTCTTAGCCAATTTAAGTTTTGCCAAATTGACTGCTCTTTGGGCATCGCTTTGAACTATAGTAGTACACATTTGCATCCATTGATCCTGAATGTTTGATACCATATCATCTAAACATAATCGATCACCTACAAAATATATACCCCACAATCCAACATCATGATAAGCGATGTAAAAGGACTCGAATTTTTCGCATAATAAAGAAGTTGAAGCCGCACGTGCTAATGGAGATCCATTACAAATAGTTCCACCTTGTGTCCTATCCCATGAATCTGTTAGACTACTTGCAACTAGAAGTGTCAAGTATTCTGGAGAATTATATCCTGGCGCTTCTATAGCAATACCAACATGAGCATAAGGCATACAATCGTCACGGGAAATAATTTGTGAACCTGTAAAACGTTGCGCACCAATATAGCATTCTTTGCATTCTGTATTTCTTAAGCAATGAAAATTCCTACGAACTTCATCCATCATTGTTGCATGTGACACTCCCCCAGACACTGCCAAAAATAATCGATGTGGTTGGTAATTTTCGGACTTAAAATTACTAATTATATTTTTATCAAATTCTAATATATTTTTTGTTGGGCCCATCACGCTTTGAGCTAACGGAGTCCCTTGGAATGCCGTCTGATGTAAGTAATCAAACACGACTTTTTTTGGATTATTATCATAATCAACTGCTTCAAAACAAATATTCTTCTTCTGTAATTGCAAGTCAGCGTCATCAAAATCAAGATCAGAAATCATTTTAGAAAGTATCTCAACATTTCTGGACGCATTTTCAATAGGACTTACAGCAGAGAACATTTGATATTCTCTTGTTGTATTTGACCTGATTTTGATGCATCTATTGTAGACAGTTTCCTGAAGGTCTTTGTTAGATATAACCATGCGCTCGATAAAACTAGAAATACCATTGTTACAAATATTTTCATATCGTGACCCGCATTGAATAAAAATTGAAGTACATATAAGAGGTGAATCCGATTCATTTGTAGCAACTCTTAAGCCATTTGGCATTATCTCAACTTTAATTTTCGAAGCTGACATAAGGTTTCGTGAGGACAAAAAATATTGATTAATTCGATTCCATAGTCTAAAATTTTTCGTTTTCATTAATAACTTGAACATAATTATCTAAACAAATTATTACTTTGAACTTTAAGATAATTATTTAGTTATATATAAATTACTTTCAACTTCTATACAAAATTATAGACGAATAATTACTCAGTGGTCACATTAACCAATAATGGCAAAACTATAGAGTGCCACAGACATCATTTATCAAAAGTCATTACAACTATAAGCCATTTTATTAATCTTCTTTGTTATTCATTGCTTTGAAAAAGTTTTTACTTCAAAATTTGTTACATTTTTTGTATGGAACATTTTTACAGTTACTCGACTTTTTACAGACTATTTGAAAAGAACGCACAATTTGAAATTGTGCGCTTCTTTTTAGGACACTTTTGAGACGCTGACTATGTATCTTGGGTTTTTAATATTATGATCATCATAATTTGATGATCAATGTATAAACCACAGATATGGTATGTTGTAAAGTACAATTTAAAATACTTGCCAATAATGGATACCAAAGACATTATTTTAGCTCCTCTTCATAAAAAAATCTGCTTAACGAAGAAAACTTTTGTGAAGGAAATGGATAAAAATTTCGAAGGATTTCTGTGTAAAGTCTATTTTCCTAAATTAAATAATGCAAAGTTATATTTTCATCAGCCCACAAATACGCCTGTAAAATTTCGATCAAAAACTACACGAAAAAGGAACAAACTGCGATAGAAGTTTTTTTCGGCAAATACTATGCGTAATAAATAATATGCGTATGTCTTTGTGAACAATTTGATAAATATATATAAAAAAATATGTTGCCAGATGTCTTAAAAAAATTATTTCCTTCATTCCCATTTCTCTTTTTACCCGACTGCGTCAAAACGTAAAGGAGGGTTATGTGTTTGATCTGTATGTATGTATATAATATCAAATGCCTATGTGCGTATATATGTCCAACCCTATGTTCCCTCGTAATTACAAAATGGCTTAACCAATTTCGATGATTCATACGAAGTTAGATTCGTCTTGATAACGCGAGTGTTATAGAGAATATAGATATCACTAAAAGTGAAAATGGCGGATCTAAGGCGCCAATTTGCGTGCATTGAAAAAACATTTTTTTAGCAGGTGTGAGTGATGAACAACATCTATCTCACATCATCATTAGTCTGCGCAAAAGCTTTACCCAAAAACAAATAATGGATAAAAAGTTGCCATATGCAAAGCACTCTAATAAGCATTGAAAGACAGAAAAATATGAACGTTTTAAAATCATCAAAATAAAATTGCCTTAATATCAAACCTCAAATGAATTTTATCTTAAAATTACAAAAAAACTTTTTTCTGTGAATTATTTTATTATAGGTAGGTACATACCTAATATGCGTTTTGACAAATAACTTTTAGTGACAAGCCATTGTATAAAATTTTATTTTTGCGATAGAATAGATAAAAACTTCAATACTCCGCCAATATTACTTTATATTATCCAATAATATTCAAATATGTTACGGTACCACACAATATTGCAAAAAGTTGTCAATGCTTTTAAAAATAAGAAACATGAGCGTTGCAACTCCACATCAACAACATATCCACATATATTTAAAGATTTACCCAAAATACAATGTTCCCGTGTTTCCAGTGGTTTAACAGTCGCTACGGAAGAGAGAAAATGCAACAATGTCTGTTTAGGGTTTTACATCAACGCAGGGTCTAGGCACGAGGACGATATTTTAAATGGAATCACATACTTTTTTCAGCACATTGCCTATAAAGGTACCCAGAAAAAGTCAAAAACCAAATTAGAAGATGAAATGTCGAACATAGGACCTAAATTTAAATGTTTTACTACTCGTGATACTACAGCGTTCTATGTGGAATGTCATACTGAAGTTTCAATGCGTGCATTAGACATTCTATATCATTGCATTTTTAACAACGCTTACGCTGAGCCTGAAATAGAAATACAGAAAGACGTTGTCTATCAAGAAATGTTAGAACATGATAAGTGCCCATCAAAAGTTTTACATGACTATTTACATTCTTCAGCATTCCAGGGTACGCCGCTGGGTCAGCCAGTTATGGGTCTTAGTAGAAATCTTTATAATTTTAAGCCAGCCACGATACGCACTTATTTAAGTACATTGTTTGTTCCAAAAAGAATAGTTATGGCAGCCGTTGGAGGTGTAAAACATGAAGTGATGGTAAATTTAGCCGAACAATATTTTAGGAGCAATGATGGTTTAAAATGCATTAAGTCACGCCCTAATAGATACACAGGATCACAAATTGTTTACAGAGATGATTCAATGAAAGTGGCTCACGTAGCTATTGCAGTAGAAGGCCCGTCATTTTGTGATGAAGATAAAATCTGTATGGAGTTAGCTTCGTCGGTAATAGGAGGTTGGGATAAATCACAGCCAGGTGGAACCAATCATGGAATGCGCGTCGCATATATCGCCTCTTCAGGAAAGTTTTGCGAGTCCTACAAAGCATTTGACTTTTATTATGAAGACACTGGCTTGTGGGGCGTTGAGTTCATATCACCAAGAAACGAAGTTGACGACATGGTCTTGACGATACAAGACGAGTGGATGCGACTGTGTTACATGATGACTGATGGAGAATTGATAAGAGCAAAAAATGAAATGAAAACAAAAATAATAATAAACAATCAAAGTACTGTTCAAGCTTGCCATGACCTCGGTCAAAATATTCTTCGTACTGGTCAACATAACAACCTTCTTAAGAGATTACAGGCTATTGATAAAATAACAAGTAGTGAGTTAAAAAATGTTTGTGACAAGTACATATATGATAGATGTCCGGTAGTCGTAGGTATAGGAGCTACTGAATCTTTGCAATCTTACCCAAGGATCAGAAGTTACATGTATTGGTTGAGACTATGAATTACTTTTAATTTTCTCCGCTAAATTGAAGAAAGGAGTCAAAAAGAAGATTATGTGAAACCACATAACTTCAATAGTATAAGAGTTTTACTATTGGATTTCATTTTTATTTGCAAAGTGCTTCTTGACATGAGTCATGACAAAATGTATTTAGCATTCCGACAAGTTTCACAGTGCATAATTTAACATACAAGGTTATAATACTTTGTTTGTGCATAAAATTAATCTGAAACTTGATAGATAATTACGTTGGAATATTGTTAAATATGAAACACATAAAGCATTGCCCGCGGCTCCGCCCGCGTTCAGATGACCAAAGACCAAATTCGGTTTTACATATTAATATTCTCTTATATTGCAATTTTTGTATTTTTTCTCAGAAATAAGACATTTTCCCGCGGTAAAAAGTATCTTATATATTGACCCGGTTATCCAGGTATTACCGTACCAAATATCATCAAAATCCCTTCAGTGGTTCCCTGTATCGATGATAATGTTTATTTCAATAACATTTTCCAAAAAATATTTTACGTACAGATTCGGCTTAGTTACAATTTTATTATATGTATAGATTATTAAAATAGATGCGGTTGTAAAACCACAGAATTAAATAGTTTTCCCATTATATGTTATAAAAATTGTATGAAACCCGAACGTACTTTCCCACAAATACAATGTACCTACTGATATTGTGAAATGTATATTGTTTCATATTTTATAGTGTTTATATATTGTATAGTTTAATGTTAACCTAACGAAATAAATAAGTAAAACCAACACAGTATTTAGCTGTACTCTCGGTGTGTGAATAGGACTCGTAGTAGCCCCGCCCCATCTTCATATTTAAAGATTTACAAACATTAGCACTATTTACTCAGCAACAGCAAAAATTAACGAACATTATCAATTAAAAATTGTTTCGATCAAAAAATATTACTAATATGTAAAGCCAGACTTTTTTTGCCGCGGGTAGTGCTAGTTATAGGTACTTATAAAATCATAAAAAGGTCATATCTATACATTATTTTTGTGGAATATACATTAAGTTTTTTAAAAACAATGGTGGCATTTATTGATGATTTTCTAAATAACAAATAAATATTATGACCAGTTATTTTTACGAATAAAATTTTGTCCTAATTTTGGTGTTTTTTCTTGCAAAACATGTATTCTTGCACCTAACACTTCTGAATGGTCCTTCTAAATAGTCTTCGGTTGTTATTTTAATTACAATGGATATTATAATCCAAAAAACATAGTTTTATTTAAAATGTCAAATATTCGCGTAAATCTGAGAAAACTTTTCTATTTATACATATAATAAAATTCTAAGTCAAATCTGTACATTAAATATTTTTTGGAAAATCTTATTGAAATAGACATTATTATTGATACAGAGGCCGAATCTATAGTTTTTATAATTTTTGTCTGTCTGTTACCGCATCACGGAAAAACCACTGGAGGGATTTTGATGAAATTTGGTATGGTGATAGCTGGTTATCCGGGTCAACATATATAATACTTTTACTTTTTTATCGCGGGACAATATCTTATTTCTGAGAAAAAATACAAAAACTGCATGGTAAGAGTATACTAATATGTAAAACCAAAAAAATTGGTTTTTGGTCATCTGAACGCGGGCGGAGCCGCAGGCAAGTGGATTAATAAAAATATAAAATTCATAATGATTAGATTAAAGGCTTAAGCCTAAAAATATTTGGTATGGTAAATCGGTATAGTGGCATCAGGTGGTTAGCAGGCCTAACAAGGTAAATAATATCTTCATAATCATAATCTTTAGGTGTACACATTTTTTGGAACAGTTACTTATAGAGACATCTGTGAACGATCATCGAAACCTAAACAGGACGATACTGCTTCCCTACATGTACACGACCACCCACGTACACAATTTAAACTAGATTCGCAAGATGGAACTATTTGCAGAATTGTTTTTTTTTTCGACATTGTTATACACTACATGGATTTGTATTCTGCTATGAAAATATAATTTTCAAATAAATAGATGTACCTACTAGTAAGATAATATAACAAATATCATTTACCTTTATATTAAAACTAGCAGATCCCGCAGCTCCGCTCGCGCTAAAACTAAAAAAATCGTGACGTGAAAGAAGGACAAACAAACACACTTTCACATTTGTAATATTAGTATGGGTGTAGTGTAAACGCAGTGGTAGACCAGTGGTAACACGTTCGCTTGGGAAACCGAGTGAAACTCTGATATTTTCATGTGCGAATCATTTCAACATGATTACCACTTACCTTACAGTGAAGAAAAACATCGTGATGAAACCTGGAAGGTGTCTGACCATTTTTGTGTCCACTTTTAAACAGGCAGACGTAGTCTATCAGGTACAGGAAAAAATTAGCTTTGATATATAAATGATGAATATACGCGTATAAACGTAACAAAATATGACCTGCTTACACCTGGCTGCGAAGAGGTTGCGGCCAAGTGCGCAACGGCAGCTATCACTTTTCAAGATCTCTAATTCTATATATATATATATATATATATATATATATATATATATATATATATATATATATATATATTTCTGTGGAGTTATAATTCATTTTAATAACAAATGCATCTTTTTTGTTCCAAAAATTCAATTATTATTTACTTAATTAAACATACTAGCGAGCACATTTTAATAGGCACCCCGGTCAAAACATATTGTCCCTTTTATTACTGTATAAAAAAAATGATTTTGTATAAATACGCCATGAACGTAGCAATCTTGCAGCCGGATCTCGATCCATTATGATTGGATCCAGTCATAATATAACACATTTCTATCTGGAAGAAGATAATATAAAACTCAAGGGAAAAATGAATAGACAAATATAGAAAATTATATTTTTTTATTTCGAAAAGAGCTAAAGTAAAAAATATCAAAAAATGATGAGTATAAACGAGTATAAGTTTCGATAAAAAAAGATATACAAACACTCATCGAAACATTGGAATGTATAGACGTGACTGCCGACTGTGTACAAATAAACCGTCGAAAATATCATCCCAAGTCATACCATATATGCATGCATCAAAAATATATAAATTGTTTACGTTTATACTGTTTAATTACAAAATATAATTGTATACAACCAAAAGTATAGATGTCTTCGCACTGCAAAGATCTGTCTACCACAAACAGTATATGGTTCTCATCATTATACTTAAAATATTATAAATATACAGATCGGCAAAAATCACAGAAAATGTACAAAAAATATGTGTTCTTACATTAAAATATTAAAATATTCGATCACACCACTAGAGAGCGTCGCATTTGTTTGTGGAAATAATGTGGGACCGAAGAGATATAAAAAAACATATAAAAATACAGAACATGTGGAAATACAATTTTAAAATTATAATAAAATGATTAAAAAAAACACAACAGACACGTGATAAATGCAGTGCTTTCGCGGCCATTACAAATGCAATATTATCAATACGTGATTTGATTTACGTTTCGAAAACAAATATATTATTTTAAAATCAAAATGGAATGTTAAAATGAGTAAGCTACACATGGAGGTCAGAGAATACGAATTCGACCATTTGTTGTATACAACTTTTTAGTCATAGCAGTTAGCTGTATTTGTGATAGCTAAATAGAAATGTCTGGAGAAAAGGTGTGTTTTTCTATACCGATCTTTCTTGCATTCTGTAACCTCCATGAAACTACTTATATTAGACAACCTACAAAATTATCATTCAAACAATCACAATGCATTAAATGACATTGTTATGGTGTTGCTTTCAAATATTTATTAATGTTGAGATTCTTCTCCTGGCCTATGGCCTCATGGGTAGCAACTTCCATGTTACGTCAACTCGAATCAGAATATTTATGTTATAAACATAATAAGTTCTCAGCTCTAAAGATCCGGTGTAAAGTCGTCTTTCACTGATCAGTTTACCGAATAAAAGTGGGTTGTACTGTGTTTAATAAAGTTAATGATTATCCGGTAGCAAAAGGTGAAAGCCATATATTAGTAAGTTATTAAAAAATACAGTCGAATTGAGAACCTCCTCCTTTTTGAAGTCGGTTGAAAAGGGGGAGTATTACTCAATAACAATTTAATTTTATAGTAAAAAATAACAAAGTATGAGAATGTAAGGTTCTAGACAATAAAGACCGATTAATTATTTATTACACATTTTTATGGTTGCGTCTATAGAAGCATAAGGCTCTTGTAGTATAGTAAAAAAAAGTGATAGGTACCATCTTTTACTGTACTACACGAGTCATAACTGTCAAATTTGTTGTGAATTATAGTACAAATCTTAAAGTAAAATATTGAAATATAATATTCTAATATACAACTAGCCAAGTGTGAGTCAGGATCGCTTAAGAGGGCTTAGCAGCCGTTTAAGATATTATTTTATCGATGAATTTGTACGTCAAATATACGACGATTCAAACTATGATTCGCACTTGGCTTTATAGCACGTGTACAATATTACTGTCAAAACATGGGGGGAAAATTAAATTATGATTTTGATTCATAATTGATATGAATAATATCAAAAACCTGAGAACATTGGTTACAAACGTTTCGTACAATAAAAATTGCAATCGTGACGCTTATTCCCTTGTACAGATTTAACATATATACCCTGAATCGATATGACGCTATGCTAAAACCTTCCGAAAATCGGCGTTGCTAGATAATATATAATTTAAAAAATCTCAAAAACATTTTACATTCTCCTAAACCTTTACGCCAACCCTATCACATTTGACACAGAAGCAGCCTTTCAATTACGAGAGATTCCATCTCTTAGAGGGAAAAAATATATCACTGCACGATGCACATTTACCTCGTTAAAGCCCTGACCTTTAAAAATACTGGCCAATTTTTTTACTATTCCATTACACAGACGCTATATTACGTCGCCTAGACTTTACTTCGAGTAATAATCGAGTTATAAAAAATTGATTAATGTATGTATATAGTTTTGTCAATTGTGCATTCTTAATGGAACATCACAACTGATGTATAATACAATTCCAATTGTTAGTCTTCGGCATACATTTTATGATAGTTTCGAAAGAGGTCTTATGTGTATAGCCCTTTTAAAATTAAATTCTAAAATGGCAATCGATGTTTAATACTATCATTAATGAATAAGATAATTCCAATATTTCCTTTCCGTTTAATCTTATACCCTGGTACTGATAAAGTAAAAGGGGTGTATGATATTGTTCATGCCCTAAATACTACTGAAAATGTTAGCACAAGAAGTTATATATAGAACTACTAGACACCTATTATGAATAATTATATGGCGAGAGACGACAAATTGACAGTATTTTTGATATATATGATCCTTAAATTTATAACCAAGTGTATTCATAACTCGCATATAACATTTTAATTCGAGATAAAAATCGATTTGTCGACAATCTGAACCCCATCAATGTATGACAAACGAGTTATGAATATACCTAATTCTTACCCACTACATACATCCTAATTTGTCATGAAAAAAGTCCTGTAAATAGACATAAATATTTGAGCACTTACTATTAATTGGTACAGTAATTGCAGCAATCAAAAATAATCCAAACAAGGTAGACCAAAGAAGGGTGAGTTCGAATAAAAACTAATCGCAGGCGTTACACATTAAAAAAAAGATCGCAAACCGATTTACTATGAACGACGAACATATAAATGGACAAACGTACGTCTTTACAGTCCAAAGCTTGAGAACGCTATGACTAGTGAAAAAATCGTCTGTGATAATTGATAAACTATATATTGGAACGTCAACAGTGTAATAAGTTATGTTTTCTTTAACAACGTAAAACTTTAATGCCCATATAATGTAATTTTCTATTTAAGACTCCATACCTTGTACTGTAAATACGCAAGTGGAGATCCAAGTGGAATTCTAGAACATTCGCGAACATTAGACACTGAAGGTGTACTTGAGTAGACATTGAGTATTTTAATCATCGAACCTAAATTAACACTAAGATACAACGCGCCTAAGCCAGTTCGGGCTCATCGGACGGCCGCGTCTTAAAAGATCGATAGCTGCGTATCCTTCACATAATATAAGAGCATTGGTATAAAAAAAATTTGGTAAAAAATATCGCTATATACGCTAAAATAATAATACAGCTACCAAAATATGGAATGTGCCTTACATAAAAAACATAATAATCTCCTTCGAATATATAAAGAATGACTTACTCTAAGAGTACTTATATATATATAATATATGTATAATATGTTAAGTTAAAAAATACTTACACCTCATCAGGTTGATTATGCAGACTTACATCTAATGGAATGTAAAATAGAAACCCTATAGAAAACACGTGTTAGTCATTAGTTTATACCCCTTAATATTAACGGTTAGACATAGAAATACCCAAACCACATAATATAATTTCAATTTACATTTGAAATATTATAATCGAGACTAACGATTGTTCATGAAATACAAGTCAAACGCCCGTGTGTCACGTCGACATTGACGTGGTCTCTCTACAACTACGTACGAATATTGTTACGAATATATTATATATCCTAGAAAGAGGTACAGTATACAATCACAACTTATGAATTGAGCTCTTCGGTTTGTGGTTTCAAGCTAAGTGTATACAATACAGGTTTGTGTCCATTTACGACCCTGCTTCGTTCATTTCTAGTACTATACGTTAACGTATTCGATCGTTACTAACGCCAAACTATCATGACCGCGTTAACACTCCAGCGACTGTAGTAAACGTTTTAGTCATCTATATAATATAAAAGGTATAAAAATGGCGCACAAATTAATATGTGGCAACCGTAATTATGGAATGTAAGTTTGAAGGAGCTTGAAACTACAACATGTTACTGACAGAAGGGGACGGCATAACGCAATGTATTTCCGAATATAAACCTATAATAAAACTAAACCGATGCACAACTCGCTTTCATTATAAGAATATTTTAACTTCATCAAAGAGAGCTAATGACTATAAAAAGTTCCGATTTTCGACTCTTAACCGATGGGACGAATGGTTAAATTAAAGCTTCACTGAACGCCGCGCCGGTGCACATCTGAAGATAATAAAAATTATACAAATAATGGATTACTAAAACGAAATGACAATATAAAAGGTGGTTTTGTAAACATTTGAATGTTTCATTATAACGTTGATAAATCTCATTAATCTCGCCGCGTTTGTTGAAAACCAATTTCCTACGTCGTGATATAATTATAACTAAACAGTCATTTCAAACTTGAGGTACATACAAAATTTCACTTAAATATACCTAGAACCCTTGTATTTATAAAATAAAAAAAATGTATACATCTTTATCGGACTATAATAATTGTACGTATAAAACACTGTTCTCTTTCAAAAAAAACTAAGAATATGCGATCTTAACACAAAAAATATCTTAAAATTACTAAGTAAAGCATATACTTTATAAAATGAATAATATACACAATTATAATATACAGATATTTTGTACTGTAAGGTTATTTAAATCTTGTTCTTGTATGAGTTGTAAACAAAAAAAATTTTTTTGATGTGAGAAATAAAATACATTTTTGTACATTTGTATTGGAATGGCAACATTATCATTTAGAACTAACCGAACGAGCTGCCTATACACTACCTTCGTACGCGTACAGTCGCTATAACATTAATATATAAAATATTAAAAAAAATCTTTTTCCTTGACTAAAATGCATCTCATGTAACCTCGCAACCCTAAGTATTGATGCCAAAAGCGAAAAAAAAATAATCGCTATAAAAAATATAAAAAAATGGATGTTCCGAGATTCTAGCTACACTATTACATAAAGCTGATTGAGACATAATATATCGATCGAGGCGGCACGAACCGTAACTTATAAACTATTTTACTTTACAGGGTGTGTGTGTATTATACAAACATTTAAAAATATTACACTGTTATATTTAATATTTAATTATACATATATTGGAATGTCCACGCTAGTGCCTATAGATTATGATCATATAACTAAGTACGTCCTAACACACCCTGTAAATATATTAATATAACCGTTGCAATGATTGCTATGTTTTTTTGTTTCAGTCTTTGGAACTTATGTGGTGGAATGTAGAAATATACAAAACTCGACTCAACAGTACACACTGGATACAAATATACGTGATTCGAGTTCATATTATACTTACACTTAAGATATACGATTAACATTACGTTATATTATACGATTAAGCATGTTATAATGCATATTGCAATGGCGATCTCAACATCGATCAACCATAGAGCATCGAATAATAATATTATACTGATATTATGAAATGCTATAAAATACTATCATTGAAAAATCTTACTTTGTATAAAAATGTCGACACACTATTACATTATAAAAGACATTGAAATAAACGGTTCGAGACCATTAGTTGCCTCTCATATCCAAAACATTGAAGCTAACGTTCTATCCAACGTGACGTCATCTCAAATTTGGCATAAGTTGTCACCGGAGAGGCCTTTAACCACCCATATGATATTATTAAAATACATATAAAATACAAAATTAAAGGCTTGAAATGAATAAAGTGATCGATGTACGAACTCCACGCCGTCTCAAGAACGACGGTTCGAAATAACATGTCGTGTGCTGAGTTAGAAACCTACTTTTCTTTTCGTTTTTAAATTAAATCAATTTAATTGTTGAATGTTTTTCTGGAATCGATATACAAAAAAGTGAGTACATTTTTTTTTAAATCAGTCAAAAAATACTTTCGGCTGTACTCTCCTAACATTCAGGATTTACAAGAGCCAATCTAAAACTAAAACTTTTGTGGTGGATTTTAATGTTTTCTTCACAACACTTATGAATAAAACATTAAAATCAAACAAAAAAATCGTACATCGATCACGTTTAGCCATATACATATTACATTTTCCTGTTATTTGGTCGGTCAACACGTCCGAAAATCAGTGAATTCCAGCGGAACTGTTGAGTGAAGATATTTGCCAAAGTTATCGGGTCTACGAAGTCGTCCTCGTCCGTATTAGGCTCTAATCATACGGCCTGGTTTGCTTCGGCCTTCGGGAGCGTGGCCTCTTGGATGGACACCTCACCCGACTTGGTCGGCTCGCCCGGTGTGGATGCCGATAAGCTGGAATATTTTACGTGTTATTATTAATATGTTATTTTATATATTTAGATTTATCGCACTGTGAAAAAAAACGTGTGTGTGTACTTATGTACGCACGTAAGAAGTTATACTACTTTGGCGTAACAGAACAAAAATAGCTGAGGGTGTCATCCCGTATATCACAACTCACTGTTTGTAAAAGGAATGCAGCTAACTTCATCATGTCGCTTTCAGTCTTTGTATTTTTCTCTGTCGGTGTGCGCGCGATCGTATCGTATTTTACTCTCATATTTTTTTCCAAACGTGCCAAAAGAAGTATAACTTCAAGAATGTGTAATAAAATTAATACGACATAGAAATATTACATTAACACATTGCATTTGAAGCACATGAAACATACACAAAACATAATATAAAAATCACTTAAACTCGCGACAATTCGAGCCAGCATAAACAAAGAAAAACAAAGTTTTTTTTACGAAAAAATGTATTAATAATCCTTATCCTTCAACGTTCAATCATACCATATTGATAATTTAAAAAAGTTAAGAAGATAATTAAGAAAAGCGCCAGTTTAATCCCCAAAAATATCTATAAGGTAAATCCATTCTGCCACCCACTCTAATCTAGAATAGACGAGAGCTAGACGTCCCGCCATTTTCCCATACCATAAGATAAACCACAATAATAAATTTAAAAACAAAAAATCTCTTACGCATAAAGAAGTTTCGAGTCGAATCCGTCGCAAAGCATTTTCAAATATTCTAACCCTTCAGTCGACGTATAATATAAAATAAATATTTATCTGACACGGCACGTCGCTACTGTATGAACAGACGGTAATTAAAACCACACAGCAGAAGTGCAGACCTGTACTGATTGGCGCATTTGATTCGCGCGGATCAATAATTGCATCTCATCATGAGATGTGGCACCGTAGAAAAGTAATATAAAAAGATTGGCGCGAGCTAAATTCACTCTTATTACCCTTTGAAAGGTTTCAATATAGCTTGCACTCGTTGTAAAACTCAGATAAAGCACCCCTAGTTCTGAGCTAGACTGTCTGGATCTAAGTTTGGCGCAATATCCCCGCGCGGATCAATAATGCATTATTATATTTGATAGACGTATACAATACAGGTACAACGACCAGACAGGGTTAATTGGCTTTCGCTACCTATCCAATTAATAATATCGTCTACCGTCTGCGTTTCATGTTACATTGCTAATAAACGACATCGAGAAGCAGAAATTAAATTCGCACAGGCATTACGAAAAAGCTTGTAAAATAAAAATATACTGAGAAATAAATAAAAATTCGCTGTTAGGCTTAATACGAACAACAATAACATTGTATAAGTCAATATGAACATACCGATAATTATGGCGAGTAAATTTGGGTTTTTTTATAGTACGTGTCTTTGGAGTATACATCGGTATGATTAAATCAACGAATGTCTTTCTTGCGTGATTGTTTTGACTAGAATCAATAAAGATTTTAAGTATTTGATTTTACTTATAATATTATCTATAATGTAGTAGGTAATTCGATAATAATAATATGAGACCACTACTATAAAGGCGAAAGATTGTATGTATGTGTGTTTGTTACTGCTTCACGCTAAAAAGTCTGGTCGGGTTTGGATAAAATTTAGCATTATTATAAATAGATAATTATGATGACCTGGAGTAACACTTAGTTACTGTTACGAACCCAAAGGCGCACTCGAGCGTAGCTAGAGTAAGCCGCTTGTTAGAATATATTTAAATCAATTTTCATTAAAAAAATTATTCGCTTTGTAATTTGCACTGAAAATAATATTCACTAGAAATTCGCCAAATTGTTTCAATACAAATTTGTACAGAATAAGTTTCACATTGGGCAATTTGGGACAGTTATTTTTTTATTTATATTGTTAAATGTCCTCAAAATTATAATCTAAATAAAGAAAGAATAACAATATTCATTCGCTATATTTAAATATTTAATCAAAATATTTGGAACATGGATTTCATGAAACTTTCACCTAAGTGTACTTAACTTTAATGGTGATATATTTATTAATTAGTTAATGCCTTTATTATAATATTTATACAAACTATAAAGATAAAAAAATTGAATGACTTTCGCAATAAATATTATTTATACGTGTTGTTAACGATTAATAAGTAAAGAAAATAGTTACTCACTTGTCAATTTCTCTTAATTCGGAGTTTGCTTCGTTACGCCATTTGTTTCCAACCATGTTTTGAACGCTGCGAATGTTATTTATTATCTTATAATATTTATCATATTTAACAGCACGGACATAAAATACTTATAATTATAATATGAATCTTATAATATATAAAGAGACATAATAATATAACAAAACCAAATCACAATTAAAAAAAATTAAACAAAGAAAATTATAAAAACAATGGTGCATATAATATCTAAAAAGCAGTTAACCCTCATACTTACACGTGTCTCATCTGGTCCCCTTGTGCACTCAACTGGGCTAGATAGGCCGCTTGCTTGCGATGGTGGTACATATGGACGCGGAGACACGACGGGTTCCTCATACGTTTCTGACATATGTCACATTGCAACGTACCCTCCCTTGTGTCATGTTTGTCCCTTATATGGACCTTCAGGTTGTATCGATTCGCGAAAAATCGGTGGCAAGACGGACACTTGACACCGCCCGATTTGCAATTCCATCCTTTATACAAAAAAATTATCGATTAAATATCGATTTTAAAACGTGTGCAATATTACGGATAATGCCGAATCAATATCTCTCGCGAATCGCTTACTGTACTTACCCGACTCTTTGCCCGAATCTGGTAATACGAGAACGTTGTGAAACATGTCGTTGTCGAAGTCGATCATTGGCTCGCTGAAAAGTTCCATATAAAACCAAATAAAAATAAAAAAAAATGTGCTGTTTATAACAAAATTAGACAAATATAAAAAAAATAAAAAATAATGACTAATAATATAAATAATTAATATTCTATTATCCTACATGAGCTTCAATTCACACTTACCCGTCAGAAGCATATTCAGTGTTTTCAGCATGAGATGGACTATCGTTTACTGGCCGTGGTTTCTTCTTATTCGAATTGTAGCTGTTCTTGTTAGTCGTGTTCTTTAATAATCTGTAGACATAAAATATAGTTATAACTATGTACAGATATATTATAATTATTTAATGGACAATATCATTTGGATCTCTATATAATCGATGTAGAAAATACATAAAAAAATATGTATAGTTTTTTCTGTATATAAAAGGAATGTAATGTTATTACCCTTATACTTCTCCAGATGTTGAAAACTTTCTAAAATGCATAGTTAACTTTTGATCATATTACTATGCAGATCATTATTTTATAAAGAAGAAGCGAAAAAAAACAATAAAAGTCTGCTAAATACTTATAATTATATAGCGACTCACCCTCGCTTTACTCCGGTTCGTCCCTACTTCGGGTACCTACGTTTTAACGGGTTAGTATAGAATAGATAGACTATATATTATAGATATACATAAATACGATCATATATTGTGGGATGTATAGTGACGTGTTTTCCTGTAGGATTGAGATAATCTCGCGCGGTAAAAAGTAACGTATGTCACGCCAATCCGTCACTCTGTTTCGTCAAGGACAAACAAACACACTTTAACATTACAATATTAGTACAAACTCTTCGTTTTAATACTTAACAAATTAAAATTCGTTTATTTTTCAAATTTCACTCTAATCCCATGTTTCATCAAATATCATTCAATTCATAGGACAAGAAAATATAATGTATATATAAGTAGAATGATTACAAAACATCATTCTTCCATTTCATACCTAAGTATATAAAAGTTAAAGGTCAACAAGTGTTTTGTAGAAAATATTCTACTGCCATAACACTAACAAGTGGACTTCAATAAATTGTTATCAGCAAATTATAAGAATTTAAGTCTTCTCTATAAATAAAAACACATCTTGAAAACTATAAGTTCAGTCTTCTACAATTCTAGGTCTATTCTTTAACTATATATAAGTCTGCGTATTTTATGCAGTCTGCGTATACAGTCCTGCTGGTCACGGGCCTCCCTTCAATACGAGGGGGATCAGCCCATAGTCCACCACGCAAGCCAAGTGCGGGTTGGCGGACTTCACATATCTTTCGAAAACTTACTAGGTTCTCTCAGACATGTAGATATCCTCACGATGTTTGCCATCATCGTAAGACCAGTGACAATCATGTTGGAAATTATTTGCACATGAAAATATCAAGGGTGCGAGACCCGGAATTTGAACCCGCTTTACTCGGTTTCCCAAGCGAGCGAGTGACACTAGGCTACCACTCCACTGCCTTTATTGTAAGTCTATAATTATTATAATTTAAAGAATAATTTGGCCGTAAAATAATATTTTCTGATTTTCTGCAATGATTTTTCTTAGTATATTTAAGTCAAGAACAAAGGGAGCAATTATAACAGGGTATGAAAAAGATGGCAGCACTACACAACCAAGGTTGAACATTAATAATTGCCGGTTACTGTTGGGTAATTAAATGTGATTTCCCCAGTAAAATCCATGGGTAATAACTAGATCACATAAAACTACAGAAAACCCTAAAATTACACCATAAGACAAGATGGTTAAAATATAAAGTATTACATCAAATTCTATGTTTGGCACAAATAAACTAAACTTACTTATGAGTTTTTCATGACAAACCATCTAATTCAGTTTTTCTACACAAAACCAAATAATCCTATTGCAGACATATAGCATAAAAATGAAATTATATTTATTATGTTGTTAATCAATATAAGAGTTGTTAAAAGAGTATGTAATTTGGCAATAAAACAACTAATATCAATGGCAGCTTTAATCAGCAATTATATATAATATGTCACTGTTATATTTTGTACATTTCATTCTCAGTTTAAACTATGTGGATTACGTAATCTGTAATTGTTATTATGGCCCATAAGGTATTTTATATGGCAAAAAAATATATCAAAACTCCTTAAAAATAACACGACAATAATATAAACTATAAATACCGTTTCAGAGGACTCCTGGTGGCCTCCTCTTTGGGGACCACAGATCCTGTTGATTCTTGTGAAGCTTCAGGCGCAGTCTCTTCTCCAGATGGAACCCATTCAGGTAGACTGTCCGACATAGGCTCCAACACATGAGGCCTGCTATTAGATGTATCCTCTTCGGACACAGGAGGTGGTGATTCACTTTTCTATAATCAGGTATGAAATGCATAAGAAATAATTGTTTACTTTATTATGTAATAAAGTCTTTTAAAAACAAATAATATATTCAAAGTGAAAATCTCTTTATATGTATCAGTCACACATATTGGGATAAAGAAAAACATGAGCATTTATAGATGTAAATATTTATTTAGATTCAAACTCAACTCTCTTGTAAAATATAAACTATGTTTCTCTCAATCTCAATCTAATTAAAATTTAAATTACTTATTACAATGTAATTTACAAGTGATAATTGCTACGCTACTACTAACCTCTCTACCACCTGTAAGCCCTTTTACTTGTAGCAGTTCAGCAGTGTGTAAAAAGCCAGAAAGTTCTTGTTGCCGTACATGAACCTCCCCACGGTACATAAATTGTAAAAGCTGCCTTAACTCTTGGTGAGCTACATCTTTAAGAATCACTATGGGATGCTCACAAGGGTTCATCTAAAGATATACAACAAGTGCTAAATATTACAAAATATCAAAAATAATATTGTGTAGTTTGTATGTCACACATATTTTTCATCAATTTTATAATAAATATAGCTATTTTACTTTTAAAACTTCTCATACAAAAAAGATTACAATCATCGATATGAAAATACTTGTTGATATATTTAAATGAAATAGAAGAGAATCACTATCAAGTATGCTATTAAATTATTAATTTTGAAGTAAAAAATATTTAAAACAGAACAAGTACATTTAATTAGGACATCATTATTTCATTATTCCACACATTTCAAGTGTAAGAAAACTGTACTACTATTCTTGAGCTCATTACAATACATAATAAGATATATTTAAATCCAAAAGTAATGTCATTCTCTTTAATTTTACTTATCTTCACTTACTGAATTAATTAACAATATCATTTAACACAAATAAAGCTGTTTACACTTAATGTTTACTAAAGAAAGTAAGATGATGTATACAAACATTACTATTTACAGATACACATTTGATATAAAATAACAACAAGTATTGATTTGAATGGAAAATGTCTGCCTTTTGTAGAACATAAGTATATGTATAACTATGTAAGTATTGAGGAAAATATTTAAGCTGACAAAGGCATATTGAAATGAGTCATACCTTAAATAACTCTTTGAAGTATGGGCTGCAGACGGATAAAATGAGCTTGTGAGCGTGAACGTACTGACCACCAGCCGCCAACGTCACGTCTACCAGATCTTCTCCTTCCAATAATGCTTGAAAAGACTGGGATAAATTTGAGTGGAAATCATTCCATCTCAAAGAAAACTGCTCTGGCATTGCCATCGCCGCCTGAAAAACGCCACCCTTTAATCAGGACTGACGACGCCCGTGTTTTGCGACTAACTGTACACACGACTTTCAGTCGCACTACGCGTCCACACAATGAAACTGGTACTTACTGAAAATCAATCACAAATACAACTGGCTACGTAAGCATCTAACTACGCGAATGCACAACTTGTCTTGCAAAAATACATGTTAATGAAGGTATATCAAGTATTATATTCCTATGGTATGAAATAAATACTTCTGACTGGCATGGCAATCAATACTCGGAAAAGTTCCGTATCAAAATGTCGCGTCTCGCTTGCGCTAGACTATCACAACACAATGAAAAGTTTATTGACTGAAATTTTTTGTTAGAAAATTGCATACGTACATAAAAAAATTAAAATAATATTAATTTATAAATTTGTTTCACATACTTATTTTTATTAAGCAACTGAAATAGATACCTACCTTTAAAATATGCAAAATATATAGAAAAGCATAGACAACATATATTAAGCTTCTCTTTGCATTAGCTATTTTATTTACTTGTCAAACATTATTCTAGTTTGACATTTGTCTTGTCATTTGTCAATAAGTGCTAAAGTGATGAATGCTGTCGTGTATGCCGATTAATCAAGGACCCAAGGTTTTTTTCCTTTTATTTATATTTAATGTATAGAACATTTAATTGACCATGAAACCGATAGTTCGTGATTAAAACGGCCCCTCATCATACAGAATACGCCAGTTAATAAACCTTCGTTTCATTATTTACCATCGGAAATTAACATGTTAGTAATAAATATCTACAAAATATAGTAATCATTATATTTCAAGAAGTACAATGTCGGGACATAATACACAAGAAGACGCTGAAGCTGATAGGATAGTGATGGTAAAGAAGATATTGAGCGCGGCATTTTATGCGCTCGCGTCGTTTATGATAACGGTAGTGAACAAAACCGTGTTAACATCTTATGCATTTCCCTCTTACCAAGTCCTAGGCTTGGGCCAAATGTTGGCAACTATTTTGGTGCTTTGGTTTGGCCGCTCTGCCAAAGTGGTGCAGTTTCCACCCTTAGATAGTGGTGTAGCACGACGAATTTGGCCACTTCCTCTTATTTATCTTGGAAACATGGCAACTGGACTAGGCGGTACAAAGGAACTAAGTTTACCTATGTTTACAGCGCTGAGACGGTTCAGTATTTTGATGACAATGATTCTCGAGAGATTTGTACTTGGTATAAAAGCTTCATGGCCAGTTCAAGTTAGTGTATTGGCCATGGTTGGAGGTGCACTACTCGCAGCCGCTGATGATGTAACGTTTTCCTGGTCAGGATATACGTTAGTGCTACTAAATGATGGATTTACAGCAGCAAATGGTGTTTACATGAAAAAGAAATTAGATTCAAAGGAACTTGGCAAGTATGGACTAATGTATTACAATGCTCTTTTTATGATAGTGCCAGCTGCAATAGTGGCTTGGTGCACAGGTGATCTTGAACGTTCTGCTGAGTATGCTCATTGGTCTGACATGTTATTCCTAGCACAATTTTTAATGTCATGTGTGATGGGCTTTGTGCTCTCTTATAGTGTTATGATGTGTACACAATATAATAGTGCCTTGACTACAACTATTATTGGTTGCTTAAAAAATATTTTAGTTACTTATTTAGGAATGATGATTGGTGGAGATTATGTGTACTCATGGCTCAATTTTGTGGGGTTAAATATCAGTGTTCTAGCTAGTCTAGGTTATACATATGTTACTTTTAAACGAAAGCCAGCTAGTTATATGCTTTTGAATGAAGCAAATAGTAAAGTTGATACTGTATAGCATTGTGTTAGACGAAGATCAACCCATTGCTTGACATATTATGTTGTATAGCACATGAGGTTGTTACCAAAGATCATTTGCAAAAGTACTTTCAAGTTACTTAAAAGAGTAAGTGAGCTCAGTATACCAAAAGAGCAATAGTAATTTATTATTGAATATATGTATTTAAAAGCTAAATTATAAAATCTAAAAATGGTTAGTATAATTTTTCCGATCAAAGTATTCAACCACAATCTTACTTATATGATGATTATTAAAAGTTATAAAACTAGATTAAGTTAATGATAAAAATCAAGCAATATTATCTATTATTATTTATATCAGTACATGAATCTAATATTCGTTATTTATTATGTTACAAATTTATGGATAATTAATAATTATAACAAAATACGAAGATAGTTTATCTTTGGATGTTTTTAATCCAGACTATGTTTAAAAGTGTCTTCTAATAAATAATGAATTCTTAAGTGTAAGGCTATATATTTTAAAATCACTTAGTTAAAATATTAGTTCCGATTCCTACTTTGTAAATAAAAGCTAACTTATATAATAGAAATTCTGATTTAAAAAGTAGATGTAAATTTGAATAATTTCATCTATTTTTGTGTTTGTGGTTGATTTCTAGATATATGGCATTTATTAAGTACTTTTAATTATTTTGTAATTCTCAGTGGCTATTTAAATTTTAAAGTTCATTGTGTTATATTTCACAAGTCATTTCTAAACACGATTGAGTATTATTATTTGTATTTTATGTTTTTAAGAACCTATTTTATAAGGTCTTCAAGTCTATTTGAAATTTATGTAAGAATGAATGAATATGAATGTTTTCAAAGCTTAATGTATTTATTAATTCAATCAATAATTGAATGTTATTTGTCTAGTGTTTTTTGACAGAATGAACTTTGGAATGCTTAATTCTAGATTTGTAATTGATTATCCTATTATCCTATAATGTTGCAAAGAAAAATATGAACTCAAGTATTTTTAATGCAAAAAACATTGTATGAATTTTCGAATTTTCGCTGTTAGAAATAAAAATGTATCATAGTTAAAATTTTTGAGCAATAATGCATTTCTTCGTAGAAAGACAAAACAGTGAGTCAATAGTATCTCATAGTTCATGCTACAAAATTTAGTGAGAAGCACTAGTTTCTTCATTTATAAAATAACTATGTAGTTATGTGTTCATAACAAAAAAATATAATTGTGATATTTAAAAATTACCGAAAAAATAAATTAAATGTAAGCAATGACTGAAACACCATACTAATGAGGGCTATCGTTTCTGGTGGTACCTATCGCTGTCATTGAAAGTATTTGTTAGTGTGGTAGGGCAAATAAAATTAATATAATAATTATAATTGTTAGCGAGAAAACAGTTTTATCAGGGTTTTAAATAATATTAATCATAACCAAGTAAATAAAATATCGTTTTTTTTTAACTCTTCTTTTAAACCAATAAAATTTATTCTGCCGTACCGTGTCTGCTATAATTAATCAGGAATGGCACATTCTTTATAATAATCATGAATATTAGTGAAAATTCGCTATAAAAAGCTCGCAAACAGTAAACGTCCCGTTAAGTACACCAGTAACATTTCACATTTCTAGACCCAGAGACCTCACTCTACACTAGCGCCCTCTTGCGACGAATTTAAGCGCGGTAGCCCTCAATACCACCATACATTTTATTGTCACCATTTAGTAGATTTCGATATACTTAGATATTATATCAAAGTTAATAAAATATGTTTAATCAAAAAGTCCATAAAAATCTAATAACTCTTTAAATTAAGATCTTAAGTTCATATGTTAAAGTTACTTTAGATCGAGAGGTTCCTGGTTAGTTACATAGTTTCAATATACTATAATATGCTAAATTTACTGATGCTTATATTCCAATGTAATATAAAGTACGTTAAATAAAAAAATATATCGACGAAAGTAACATAAAATATAAAAGAGATATTGTTGCATAGTTATGTTCGTTTTCGTTGTATTAAACATCAGATACTCATGAATATTTGTTATCAGAAAAAAGACAATAGTACTCATCACTAAAACAATATAAGTGAGGACTGAATTCCTACCTTTAGAAGAGTAATGTTAAGAAACACCTCCAGTTTATATTAATTTCTAAGAAATTAATTAAATTTCTAAGAAATCTATTGTTAACTCTAACGCCGGCGTGTCCGCGGTCGTTGAGGGATTCACTTCCAAGACTGCTTTACTCTTTGTACGACGACGACGACTGCTTTGCTATGCATTGTTTCGTTAGCTTGTTCACATTTTTTTAAAGATTACCCACATGCTATGTATTAACTTATGCGTACTCGTATTTATATGTAGTGAATGTTATATTTATTGTGTTTTCTCATGTAAGCAAATTACTATTGTTAATGAGAAATAAAGATATTCTACCCTGAAATCCGAGATCAAGGCATTGTTTTAAATATGAAAACTCGCATTCTGGGAATTATTTTTACAACTCATCTATAAAACTTATTTATTTTATTTATAATTAGCATTGCCCGCGGCTCGGTTTTACATATTTGTATATACTCTACTAATGCAGTTTTTATATTTTTTCGCAGAAATAAGATATTTTCCCGCAGTAAAAATTATCCTATATGTTGACCCGGATAACCAGCTATCATAATACCAAATTTCATCAAAATCTGTAAAGTAGTTTTATAGTGATGCGGTAACAGACACAGACAAAAAATCTAAAAACTATAGATTCGGACTCTGTATCGATAATAATGTCTATTTCAATTAGATTTTCTAAAAAATATTTAATATACCTACAGATTCGACTTAGTTACAATTTTATTATAATATGTATAGATATAATTTTTTTAATCAATAAGGCTACATTTCATTAATTAATGTACAACGGAAAAAGTTCTTATCAATTCAATGGTAATATTTCTACAATGTCCTAAATAAACATATTGAAGAAATATTACAGTTAAATAAATATTTAATTAACACTATTTAATATGATGTACAAGATTATAATATTGAAATCTCTATTTACTAGAATATTTACAGTCTATGTAACTTTTTCTATCTTAGTTACAATAATTAATTACACATTAAATCAGTCACTGTAACAGTTATTTATGGGTATTACAATATAAAAATGTCATACACTTTGAACTATTTAGAAGAGAAACAAAATATTTTAAATAATGATGCACGTTTGTGTAAATCCAAAAATAACAGTATTTCCTTAACTCTTCTACTCATTACGTCATTATTGTACATTGATTCTATATCTTGTATAAGAATTAAAGTGCTAGTAAAATTAAGTTTAGTTGTACTAAAACAATGATAGAAAAATTGTAGTAGGTAAATAGGTAAATAATATTTGTTACTTTACGGTTTGAAACAAATTCTTATTACGTACGTACATCGATAGCAATTTGTTATACTTATTATTAGGTTTTTAATGAACACAGTAAGTTGAGATTTGCTGAAAAAATGAGTTTGTATATGAATAAAATTTAATACAAAAAATATTATAATTGTATATTTTTAAGCATCATCAAGAAATAATGTTGCACTATCTCAACTTACTAATTTCATATACTTAAACGTAAGCGTTTAATAATCTCGCACAATTTTAAAATAGTTTGGTATGTGTAAATATCGTACATACTTATTTGCTGATCGGTACGAGGTCAACTCTTATCCTGTTTATGTTGGAAATAAATTAAATTATCTAAACTGAAATAAAACGTGTAAAAATAAACTATCATCAGAAATCGTGCGATGTGTGTGGGACTCTAGCATTACCTACTGCGCTGGAAGTTGAAGGATAGGTCTTTAATAAATGTATATATAAGTCAACGTGACATACCTACGTTTGTTCAGATCTTGCTTTTAATTTTTTTTGATTCAAATACTTTGATAGAAATATTGAGATTATCGCGATCATACAAACAAACAAACAATTTTAGTAAAATATAATGTCAACCTCTCATAAATCATCCAAATGTTTTTATTCGTTTGAGAGTATAAAGTGGTATATTATACTCTTTACATCTATTTGGCAAATGAGTCCAACCTAAATTACTTTGTAATCTATGTATGTAATGAAAGATTGTAATCTAGGTTTTTCATTAGTGTAACTAATTTTTATCAACATTGAATAGGCGAACGTGTGGCGCAGCAATGGTCTGGTTGGCACTTTAGGTGACGTCATAAATAAACTATGTACTGTGATATTGGCTTGATTGCTATGCGATTTTATATATTAGATAAATTAAAAAATATACTGGTAAAACAAATAAATCGAAAAAAGCAATAAAATATGTACGATATTCTACATATTTGTTATTTATGTATGTTCAGAGTCGTGTCATATTAGATGTTTTATTAATTAAGCTCTACATAGTGCTCTTGCACTATATCTCACCATAAGGTCATTTACATGTGATCGAATGAGGCTGTGCTATCATCTAAACGCAGTAATGACTAAAATTAAATTTAAACGTTCAATCTCTCATGTATCTCTTTACTTGTATATTGTCATAGTGTATTTTTGAGTACCCAGTCGCAGAGAACTGAAACATGCCACACGAGATAACATGTTCAAAGAAATTGCGCATGCGTAGTTTCGTATATACCTACCTACGATGCCTTTAGACTATAATATGTATCATGCTGTATGTGTAACGCCGACACTCTACCGACACAATTTTTTGTCTTTTTTGGTATTCATAAATGCGGCGCGCAAGGATGGCATGTCTAAGTAGGCAAGTAGGTGGTATAGAAGTATATGTATGTCTTCAGATCGCAGACGACTTCTTTACTTTTTTTATTCATTGAAATTTAAAAACCCACTTCGCCGTTACTTAGCCATGAATTATAATCATCTTTTATACGTATTAGGAAACGAGCGTTTTATACTTTTTTAAATTATTACTTTAGCAATAATTGTAAGAGGAGATTTAGAATAGGATATAATCTGGTAAGTATAATAT